AACTCTGCTGGGATTACATGCTTGCTTGATGTCGAAGGTGAATGAATCTCCGCACCGTTGCTATCTTGTTCAGTGGAAGGGTTGTTCGCTGCAGATGAGCTGGGTCTGGATGGAGTTGCTGGACAAGGAATCGACGCGGTACATGATGCGAAAGGTCGACGAGTGGAAGGCTTCTGGTTCTGAGGAAACCTTCATGGGGTGGCGCGACGCTCGTGATAGTGCTTCCGAAGCTGGCACGTGTTTGATGGATGCGTTTCGCTGCGCGCTGTACCATCTTGATCGGCCCAATTTGATTACCATGGAGATGTGGGATGAGTATGAGAAAACTCGTCCGGAGGCGTTTGCCTTTGGCGTGTCTCGCGAAGACGTCACGGGGTTCTGGAAGACGCTTCAGCGCTAAAGTGTTCCGGTGGACTACGTCATCATGCTTCTCAATATTCTTCATGGATCCATCGGGAGTGTTGCGACTCTGGAACGCTTCTCTGAAGCCTTGGTTCCGGGTACGTACTTGGAGAGCGCGGGCCAGGATGACATCGGTCACTGTTTCGTCGTGGTGAAGACTGGTCCCAATGCTCGACTTGTCGTGCTTGATGGGTACTCGGCTGACCACGATCCACCGATGGAAGTGGTTCCTCTCTCGAACTACCAGTGGATAGAGAGTGTGAAGTGGATTAGTCGCGTTCAGTTTCAACTTGGGTACGTGTGCCACCGCGGCAAACGCACTTCGAAGACGGCGCGTAACCGGAAGAGACGCCTGATGCAGCAGTAGCTTCAACTTGTAGGGGATGTAGTACGGGAATACATGTAGGCCTTTGAGCCCCACCCTTAAGTTGGTTTTACTTCATCTTTTCTTTCGTTTCTTGCGCCTTGCGGTCTCAAACTCTGCGATGAGGTCTGGGACTTGTGACAAGTTTTCAACCGGTTCCCAGGTCTGCTTCTCTTCTCCCAACCACTCCACAAGGAATTGGGTCCGTCGCTTGTGTGCTCTCTTCTTTACCAAGCGTTTGATGATCTGGCCGATAGTTCCATCAGCCAGTACAACCTCGTTGGGCCGCGACAAGCGTGTCGGCTCGTTGTACGGCTTCGGCGAACCCTTATTGAATGCTGGGTGAAGCTTGTTGCCAGCTTGAATGTTGAGTTCGTAAGCATGGTTGTGTAGCTTCCGCACAACAGAGTAAGGTCCAATCCACTTCGGACCAAACTTAGTGGATACTGGCAGACCAGTGTGCTTGGAATCCAAGTGTTTGGTGCTCAAGTACACACGGTCGTCAACCTCAAAGACTTATTTTTGTCGGTTCTTGTTGGAGACATCACGCATTCGCTCTTGCGTTTGAGGAAGTGTTTCGCGGTAGTGAAGAAGAATAACCGCTTGGCGCTCGTGGAACTCAGCGCCTCGACGACTCTTTGCAACCGTATCGAGTTGCTCCGCTGCAAGTTGTAGCGGATTCAGCTGGATATACCCTAGATCCGCTTCGAACGGTGCGAGCTTGGTACTGAAGTTCACCGTTGAGTTGACTGCAAACTCAGCGTTCGCAAAGTGAATGTCTCAGTCGTCTTGACGTGGACTGACGAAACGTCGAAGACACTCTTCTAGCGTTCGATTCTTTCGCTCAGTTTGTCCGTCGCCTTGAGCTCGGTGTGCTACCGTCATGCTGAGTGTTGTGCCGATAAACTTAGTTGGAGAGGGGAGAAAACACTTGTGAGTGGGAATGCAAAAATGCAAAAGTGAGATTGACTGTCAGCTTCGACACGTTTAAACTGCGCATCTGAGAGCGCTCAGGATGCCCTCTAAGGAGCATCTCTGGTG